TTCATTTCTGTTGAATTTTAAAATAACTTCTTTCTCCCATCATATATGTTGATATAATTTCAAAAAAAAATGATTAATATTTCAAAGTTTTGATCACAAACATAAATTTTACTATAACGCTTTTCTGAGAAAGAAAAAATATTTTTATTTTCCTTGAAAACCAAAGAGCAATCATCAGAAATATTTTTAAAAAGGAAAAATGTTAAATGTTATTTCTTTGACAACGTCTGTGTTTGTTATAAAAAAAGATATCAATTTTTCATGTAGAACATTTCTTACTTGTTATTAACACATATAAAATATGTTTTTGAGTAACAATCCTTGCTCATATATTGTACTGATTCTAATTTACTATATTTACTTTCATCGAAATGCAAATGCGAAAAAAATTTCTTTTCTAGGGAAAAAATAATTAAATTGAAGATTTCATCTAATTGTAAGTGTTAAAATGAAATTTTTCCAGCTATATATATTATTTTCTCCTATTTTATTAATAAACATATCTTATCTCTCTGTGCGGAAAACTGTTTTCCATTTATCAGACTTATACGACTTTTATCAATGAAGAAAGAGGACGGTACACTCAACTCACGCAATTTGCGGTTTTTCCCCCTTACACCAATTTAAACATATCAGGAAATGCTTGCTGCAACTTCAAGGTAGCACTCAGAACGGCAGATAAATAAGTATCTTTAAGGTATCGGACTACGTTCGGAACCGTGATTTTAAAACAGCGCATAAATGGATACTTTTCATGATATTTAGTGTCTTTCAGATTAGAATACATGCAGAAAATTGTTTTAATGACATTTTGACAAAAACAATTATTTAAATGGAATATTTGGGCAAAAAATTAACTTAGAATAATCTTTTTTCCAAATGTTCTCCTTTTCTGAAAAATGCTTCCATTATAATAATATTTTGTCTGTATACAGCTCAGACCTCTCTACAGAGTTCAACTAGAAATTTTGAAACATTCACATTATTTTCAGAGTTACCACCAATTGAAATAATTATTCGCGTTTTTTTCTTAAAATTGCTCCCTTCTGTTGTCGTAAAATAGGAATAAACCCACTTCTAAGTTATAAATTTCAAAAGTTCTAGTTGAGCCTCTGAACAGAGGTCTGAGATATATACAGGCAAAATATTATTCTAATAGAAGCATTTTTAAGAAAAGGAGAACATTTGGGAAAAAGATTATTCTAAGTTAATTTTTTGCCAAACTATTGTATTTAAATACATTTGTTTTTGTCAAAATGTCCTTAAAACAATTTTATGCATGTATTTTAATCTGAGTGACAGTAAATATCATGAAAATTATCCATTTATGCGCTCTTGAAAATCACGGTTCCGAACGTAGTCGGATACCTTAAGAAGTTGTATGTCCATAGTAAACCGTCTTCCGGTTACTGTATGCAGCTTCTGAGTAATATTATCTGTTGTATGTTCCAATCTCTTTTCAACTTCAGAACAATCTATCAGTCATTACTTGGCATTTTTTCTGATTGATTGTTCATCATTGAATTATCTAACAACTATTCATTTCCTTTGAAGGCTTTCAAATCACATGATATAATACTTTTGCCAATTCCAAATTTTGAACAGTATTTGTTAAACAACGCTCCTCTTCAAGCATTTATGTCCGGTGAAATGGGGACTTGATAATTTAAGTAATAGTTATTTATTTTAAATTTCCTTTTGCTGCAATTGCTCACTTTAAGCTTTTAGCGTGAGCTCATGTCACCTCTCATAACAAATTTCTGTACATGTATATGCATCATTTTTCTTTTGAATCTTCTCATAATGGTACTGTCCTAAAAAAGTTTCTTTTAGCAGTTTCACCATTGTGTGCATAAATTAACTGTCCCTTAGAGTTTGCAAACTAGTTTATATCTCTGTTAATGCACACTGCAATTTTCTCCAGATGTTAAACAGTATAGATGATTCCTTCGATGAATTGATTATACATTTCTATTTACGCCTGTGCTGCATAATATCATAGCATCTCAGCTAAAAGAAGCGTGTTAAAAATAGAAGGTGAATTCCAAAAAAAAAAGAATTAAATACTTATCTAATTCACTATCTGCTGAGATGAAGTGATACGCATGTCCATTGGTAGATCCCTATGTCAAAATTACAGAAAATTTCGTTCATTTGTAGATAATGATGAGGTAAAACTATATTGACTTGAGATTATTCTTAGCTGAACACTACTCTCCCCCTATTTGTAAACCGTGCTTTGTTTTGGAAACTATTTTACGTTTTATGATAGCTATAAGAAAATTCTAAATGACACTTGTAATGTAAAAACTTGAAGTCACATTTTCTTACGCATTCTTATAATTAATTTTGATGTCAAATCCCGAATATCTACATAAAAGAAAGCAATTTATTTTTCAAATTTTATGCATTATGTATCGTAGAAATTTAAGACTAAAGGATTCCCTCATTATCTTTGTAATTTTTTATGAAACCCAAGATGAGGCAATTTCCGAAAATGGTCGTTCTTTCTAAACATTAATATTTTTTGTAATGGTGGAGTTACATTTAAAAATTGTACACATTGAAAACGATAAAACCTTTCTTATATTGCTAGTTTGCAATATTAATATTGATGAAGTTAACTGGATCAGAGCTTAATATTTGAAAAAGAAACAAATTTTCACTGTCTTAAAAATGATTAAATATTGTTTTAACATAAAATGTATATGCACAGAGAGAATATAATCACACGATACAAAAATAAATTAAGATAAGTTTTTTTTTAAACTAGGAATAAAATTAACTCCTATTAACAGGTATGTGGTTCGTGTTGTTTATTTGTCTTACAACAGCAAAGACGATTAAGTAATACATGAAATAGAAAAATAAAATCAATTTTATACAAGGAACAAATAATCATATTCATTTCCATTTTCAGAATATTTTCATCAACTTAATCCTAAAAGAATTTCCAATAAAACGATGGAATCTATTTTCAACTGGTAATCGTGTTTTTTATTTGCTTTAAAATTATATATAATCATTAACGCTTGAAAAAAAAGCATTAATTTTCCCCGTACAATTTACAACATCTATTTACATTATTAATTTTCAGCTAAAAGTACATCTTTTAAATAAATGAATAATACTTAATCTCAGTTATAGGCCATTTGTAGTGTAAGCATTAAGCGATAATGTATGCTTTCAAAGAAAAAAAATGTTTTCTTTTAAACTTCACTTTTTTTCTGTAGCTCTTTTAATTTAGCAATACTTGGTTTAACTATTTATGCAAAGACGGTACTTATAAGTACCACTCACTTTGAAATTACATAGAACAACCATTTTTACGAATACTCAGACGATACTCGGCAGAAATATTCTTTGAAATTCATTATTTCAAGATATATAGCAGCATGGGTTCCATGATGAGTAATTTAACGAGGAAAACAAATAGTTTTACAGCAGAAGTTGAGTTTTCAGTTGACTGTTTGATCGGATTGCGAAGATTGCCATTTTTGTTCCGAAAAAGTAGTTAATATCAAAAGGTGTCTTATTTTTTTACATGTTAAGGTGCTTATTATTGATTTTTGTTCTGTTGAAATGGCATCACTATACTGCAATAGAGTAATGACTTTTTTTAGCGTTTCTTTTTGATTAACTGATTTATTTTGCCATATATATATATATATATATATATATATATATATATATATATATATATATATATATATATATATATATATATATATATTCATTTTAATGTTGTTGTTTTTTTAAAAATGAACTTTTAATCCGAGCTTATATTTTTTGCCACAAAATGAAATGAAATATGTATTCTTATTTAAAAAATTATGCAAATGATTTTAACTCCTATATGTGTAACAGAGATTTGACAGTAGTTGGAGATGTTCAAGTTGCTAATATTATTTTTATTATTATTTTCTTTTCTTAGAGAGTCTGTAGAAAAAGAAACTCGGTCTTCAAGGGGCTTTGGATTTGTTATAGAACCTACCATCTGAAATCAATCATGTACTAACAAATAATTTTTCTGATGAAGAAGTCCCAGCAAATTATCTGCTGGAATCTTCGTTAGATTATCAGGATGACGTTCAAGGGACTGAACTCAAGGTGTAGTAGTTCATGTTAAGAAAATACTGCATTTCTTACCCCAGTAAGCAGTGTTTTAAAAAACATTCTCAATCGAAACCTCACTCAAAATGCTCAACGTGTAATGAATTTCTGTGTATAAATGGAAAAAAAATGTTTCTTTGAATATCATCAAATTAAGTTTATGTGTAAAAAAAGTAAATAAATTTTAAAAATTTAATAATCTTTAAAAATAAATATTTGTGCTGTAAATTATTAGTATTTTCTGTTTATATTTAGTATTTTTTAGAGTTAAAACTAGGTTGTGAAAAAGTCATTCGTTCTTTTCGTATTGTCAGAATATTTGAGACCTTTGGGTGCTGACGGTACTTTCAAGTACCAATTTAATTAATTAACTTTGACGAATTAAATTTAGTTTATTTATGTATATCCCTTAATTTTCAATGCAGTGATTGAAAAAAAAATATTGCATGAAGAAATTTGCAGTAAATCATAATTTGGAACATAAAGATTTAATATGCTTTATTAAGTTTTTGAAATTATACTTCTTTGAAGCTTTAAAGAAAAATCATGAGGGTAAATTTTTACGATGCGCGCGCACACCGTACCGAATGCAAAAATGCTTCGTCTAGAAATATACAAAACGGGACAGAACATTCCTGCCTTTGAAATTCTCAGAAAAATATTTCTCTTCACTTCCCTGAAGAAGGGGCACCCGGGTTTGAAAGGAAGACCTTTCGATCTGCAGTCGAAGGACCTACACTGAGCTATTCACCCGCGTTAGCGAACCTTTGATTTGCTTTCCGTAGGAACGGATACAAGAATGATTTGTCTAGAAATATACAGAACGGGGCGGATCAGTCCCACCTTTGAAATTCTCAAAAAAATATTTCTGTTCACTTCCCCGAAGAAGAGGGCATCCAGGTTTGAACCGAATACTTCTCGATCTGCAGTCGAATGCTCCACCACAGAGCTATACACCCCGTGTCACCAAATCTGATTTGTGACGTCCCTACTAGTAGAGAGAGATCGTACTTCGCCTACGGTGCTTGTCTGATGCATTTTTGAACACTTTTAGTTAAACCAATTATACTTACAGGAAATTAATGAAAATTAGTATATTAATCTTTAAATTGTGTTTCATGTACATAAAACATAAGAGTAAATATTAGTTTGCCTATTTAAATAATAATTTCAAGTATATGATTACAGAAGTATTTAGTACGAATGCATTGCATATTGCAATGAATGCATAACATAAGCACATTTATTACATTGTAGCAAATTATAAGAGCCTTTTGTATTCATATATTTATTTTTGAAGTTATACTTCTTTTTGGGCATCAGGGAAAAAGGATGAAGGTAAATTTTTACGATGCGCGTGCACACCGTCGTCAAATATTTTAACATGCCACTTTCTTGGTGCTATGGGACTGATATTTGGGGGATCATAATAACTATTGTTATAAACCATATCTGTTTGAACGCATCCCCCCTGTGCATTCCATCCCCCTCTACAGCTTTTTGGCCAATATCTTGGCACAAGAGCCTCACTGTGTTCATTCGGGTCTAGCTCATTCGATCCCTCTCTATCTGCTCTCCCAGTTATTATAATTCCATGCTCATAGGGCTATTACTTCCATAGTTTTTGTATTAAACTTTTTAAATTTGTTTAAATTCACAATATATTGGCTCATGTTCGAGTCTCGGACTTGAGATTTGAACCAACTGTTCTACTCGTCAAGACCCATCCAGTTATCTACTTCATTCCTATTGTGTAGGCATGGGAAGGGCTTAAGCACTAAATATCATATTCTTATGTTAATCCCATGGGGACTGGAAAAAATTTCACCCCCCCCCTAAGAAATTGAGTTTGGAACTTGATTTTTGGAGGTTCGCCATATTTTCGTATTAGTGCTAGCTTTACTTGGAATTGGCTCCCTCTTCTACAGGGCTTCCCCAGAAATAACTCGAATCCTATGCCACCTTGGTCGACCGCATCGGCTGGATTAGATTGTTCTTCCTATGAGCATCCTAGATGTATTTTTTCAGGACCATAGCCCCATTTCTTCACAAATATTTAACATTTTAAAATTATTTTAAAGTTAAATTTTTTTAAAATCTCGCAAAGCTCCGAAGAGTTTTGAGATTCGTTAATGAAACTCGGATCATAGGTTCTCCTCATTGAGATGTTTCATCTGTTGTAATTCGTGTGTAGATAGTGGGCTTAGGGAGGCGTTATCACTAAAATTAGAATCCCCATGTTATGCCTAAGGGGTTCCATCTTTTGATGACGTAACGATATTACAAAGATATAAGGATGAAACTTTGGATCCCCTACTACCCTGTGTATCATTGGGATGTACGTGACAATTTAAGTCACAGTCCACCCTCCAGGAGGAGTTAGTTTCGTTTTCCTTTCCTGAGCCAGCACGGCCCCATTTGCAACTACAGACCCCGGACCGGTTCGAATGGATTAATCTTGTATTTCCTCACAACCAGGCCTAGTTTATATTTTACTTAATTGCTTAAATGTTTTAATTATTTTAAAATGACCATAACTCGGGGGCTCTTTAGGTGGATGTCTTAATTTTCGCAGGAACGATTCTTCCCGACGAAACATTCAATATGAGGTCTCAGGTTTCACATTCGGTTCACCTCATCTCCAGATACAGTCTGCCGAACCCACCTCTCACCCCAATGTTATTTATCCTATTGTCTCTGTGCGGGGGTGTCAAAATTTATTTAAATCGTGATTATCTCGGGTTTGACTGGTCCGTTGTTGTGTTTCGATTTGGTGTCTGTGGAGGAACAATGATAAAGTGTGGTTTAAATAGCATTTTTCATTTTTTCGACATCATTGCAATTATCTTTAATGGCTTTTCTGTAAAAATTAGCTTGCATAACTATTGTGGTTTCTTTTAAGCTACCAACCTATTTGCCACCAATGCAAACACCTTTGCTTCGCCACTATTTTACTTTACTGCGTAAACCAGTTCCTTGGCGCTTGGGGATATGGTTGATACATTCCTCTTTTTTATCGGTTTACCTTTTCATAGATGTTCAACGACATCAGATGTTGGAATGTTTTTGAATCTCTATCCGACAATATGCAAGTATACTACATATTACTCTTCTTGATGGATCTTTACTACAAAATTGAAGCAGCTTCCATTTCCCTACTAGATGAGGAACCTGTATGATTTATTTGACATTCAGATTTGTGACCTTCATACCAAATAGCAAAATCTGTACTATCACCCGAAAGCTCTATTACGGCGACTGTACATTCTGTACAATACTTTGATAGAATTTCATAATCTATAACTAAACCTGTCAATAAATCAATAACAACTCCTATTCCGTTCAGTGGTTTATAGCCCTGCTTTTGCCAAGATCCATCAAATGACACAGTAATGTCTAATACACCTGTTTCATTCTTCTTTTCATTATTTAAATCAAGATGTTGCTTCCTAACTATATTTCTCGCTACGTCAAGGATCTGATGTTTCATTTTAATATTTTCTTCGGACAAAATTTTAATGTGCTTCAAAAACGATTTTTTGTCCATTGCATTCATACCAGTCACTAATGCAAATAGTTCCAATCCCACGTGACCTTTACCAAGTCTTAAAGAAGATGAAACCATTTTTTTTTATTGTTATTGACAAATATTTTCTTCTTTTGCATGAGCACTGGAAAATAAGGAACTTAACACTGCCTCACAACTAGAGCAAACCAACTCTAGTTTTGATGTCATACCCAACTGCGTTGTTTTTATGATATTTAAGTAATTTATATTACATTTAGAGCACTTTACAATCGACAGTAAATTCTTCCATATGTCTGTATCAACTGTTACATAAGTTGTATCATTTTCTTCATTTGCCAAATGTTCTACAGAAGTGTGCGACAGAAGAGACAGATTTCTTTATGTTGCTGCATTCAGTTCACTAGAATTTAATTTTCGAATTATTTTTATAATTAGAGGATGCAAGACCATTTGCATTAGGGTCATTGTCATGAAAACTTGGATGCTCCAGTTCTAATTGTCCTGAGGCCCATCTCTTCTTTGCTTTTGGCAAAGCCTTCATTTCACGTTTTCATGGCCTTGCTTTTGGCACATGATATTGAGAACTAATTCTGTGCATTGTACAAATATTAAATTAATTTATCAAGAAAATTGTAGTCGAGTGTTCAATAAAAAAAGGAAAACTTCGAAAGAAAAACTACATTCAAAACGAATAAATATGCTGTGTTATAACAGCTATGAAACAAGCGCGTTTACACGATGTAAACAAACAATACACAAGTAGAAGTTGAAGTTTATATTGGCATCCTTCTTCATAATATGTGTGATGAACAAATATATTAAGTGAGGCTAAGCATATGCTAAAAACTAAATACCAATATAGTTATTGTTTACGTTCAAATGACAGGTGCCACGCCCATTCAAATAGTCAATGGTGCCATGTTTAAATCTTAGATCACTCATAACTCAATAATTATTCATCAAAATGAAAAAAAATTCTTCGACAGAATCATTCTGTGAACGATATGGAATATTATTAGTATAAAAAATAAAAATCGCAATTTTGACCAAATTTTGAGATTTTGAAGATCCACCATCCTCTTAATGTCTACAACACCACTGGTTTTGATACGCGTGGAAAAATAATGACAGAAGGCCGTGTGTTTTTGAGTCTAGGTGAAGTAGAGAGCATCACTCATAAATCATCATTCTACTCTTCTTACAATTTGCCGAATTGCAAATACGTTACACAAAATATTTTTCTATATTTATTCATTATTTTCAACTATTCATTCTTATCTTACGTTTATTACATTATATTGAACTTATTATATGAATTCACAAATTAATATATCTATAAAATTGCATTTGAGAAATCTCAGACATCGTCCTGAAGAGGGAAAGTTTATCACCTATACTTAATTTGCAACTGTTCCATGTAAAAATGTTAATAACAAATAATTATTTTTAAAATTTGTCCTGAATACAATAAATATATAAATGGATAACACTTCAACTCAAAAAAAAGAAAATTAATTGAATGCAATATACCGTTATTTTTCTATTAAAAAATAATATATATATATATATATATATATATATATATATATATATATATATATATATATATATATTTTGCGTTTACGAGAATTACGGATGATATCGTATCCAGCTAAGACATCCCAGAAAGTTTCCAAACCTTTTAAGATATTTTAAATATTTTAAAGACATAATCTTTTAGAAGTAAAAAAAAAAGAATATGTTTTGATATTTTAACTTTATTTTTTAAAAGTGTACAAAATTTTTATGTATATGAAGGCACATATTTATAATGTTTTGAAGAGATAAAATATTAAGATATGTTTAAAGTATTCTACAATATTTTACTTAAGAGAAAATACATATTATGAGTGATGGTTTTTGCAAACTACGATGATAAGGAAAAAACATTTTAAAATATTCATTTCTTATAATTCGCTTTATCTGTATTTTTATATGAAACAATTTTGAATAAAAAACTAATGTTTATGTTAATTTTTGAAAATAAAATTTCAGTATCATTTTAGGTAATAACTTTGAAACAAAAATGAGCATTTAAAATTTAAAATGCATATATAATCCATAAATATATACAAATAGTTATAAAACCAATGTATAATTAATCAAGATAGAAGGTACTATTAGGCACAGTAGTATAGTAACAAACTCCTGGCCTTAGGAACCGAGATTGCAGATTTAAACAAATTTTAGTGCTAGCCAACCCTCACCTGTAATTTGCTGATATTACTGAGCCAAAGGTAAAGGAAAGAATAAAAATTGTTAAATATTCTTCTTAATTTATTTAAATATTCTAGTGTATGTGTGTGTCTTGTAGTCTTTCATTTTCTATAAAATTTTATATCAATACTTAAGGTTTTTTTAAATATATATATGTATATATATACATATATAT